ACAAATCATCAAGCAACTGCTAACTGACACCTTGACAGTCTGAACGCACCCAGAGGTGCCTTGGAAGAATGGGCTGGCAATTTGCTTCTGAAGGTCACAGCCCTGGAGACCCTGTGGACCCTGTGGACCCTGTGGACCCTGGAGATCCTATGGACCCTGTGGACTGTGGAGACCCTGTGGAGCCTGGAGACCCTGTGGACTGTGGACCCTGTAGACCCTATGGACCGTGGAGACCCTGTGGACCCTGTGGACCCTGTGGACCGTGGACACCCTGTGGAGCCTGCAGACTCTGGAGTTCAGGTCTCTGCACACACCAGACCAGCGAGTCAGAGTGGACCCGCAGCGACTGGTCTGGCTCAGGGCTGTGTGGTCTATGACATGTTATAAGCATTGAATGTTTCGTTGACAATAACACCCCAAGGTCGGCACTGTGACTACCCTGACTTGATACAGGAGGGAACTGAGTGTTGACTACACCATGGACTGTGACAAGAACGTGGGAGAGCAAATCCAGCCACGGGCCCCTCTGCCCCAAGGCTCTGCTGGCAGGAGGGACAGGAGGTGGCTGCAGCCGGAGGCCGCTGGGCTGTGTGCCCTGGAGCCGGGCCCAGAGCCTCCCCCGCCCACACCTGCCTCCCGAGGTCACTCTAGGTGACCCCGAGGAGTGGCGTTGCTAAATGAGGAAGTGCAAAGCTGCCTGGATCAACGGGGAGCTGAGGGACAGACAGGGCAGGGCCGAGGCCCGCGGCGTCCTCTGCTACTCTCCTCCCTGGGCACCCAGGTGGCCGGCTCTCCAGCCTGACCTCTGTCTCTGCAGCCTGGCAGCTGCTCAGTGTCACGGCCCCACCACCCAGCGGAGGGCCCGGGGCTCTGTGTCCCAGAAGCCACCTGGGCAGCAGCCAGAGAGTGGCCGGCACGGCTGGAACCCTGCCTCAGCCCTGTGCCTCGCGGAGCCTTCGTTTCCCCACAGGGCAACTGGAAGCCCTCCGTGTACACATCAGGGCTTGCTGGGAAGACGCCCTGGGGTTTGGGTCGAGGGCCTGGCACCTTAGAACCAGCAGACAAACAGCCCAAAGCAGCGTTGTTTCGTCTTTAGTGTTTGCGTAAGTGGCAGATACTCATGGAAACAACGCCAGTCTTGCAAAACACCTGGGGAGGAGACATTTCCCCAAAGCCACGGGTGCAGCAAACCCAAAGAAACCCAGACCCACTGCCGGTGAGTCGATTCCCTCTCGTAACGACCCCACAGGACAGGGAACTGCCCCATAGACTTCCAAGGCTGTCAGTCTTTACGGAAGCGGACTGCCTCATCTTTCTCCCGTGCGGTGGCTGCTTCGCTCCAGCTGCCGACCTTCTGGTTAGCAGCAGAGTGCGTCAACCACTGCACCAGCCCAGCTCCATCATGGTGGACGTGAGTCCCCAGTCTGACGAAAACAGCAATAATGGACATTTCTTGGAACACTTGAGGGAAAAGTGAATGCGGATTGCCTGGTAACTGATTGTAGAGTCCCTGGGTGGGCTGGCGGCTGAGTGGGCAGGTTGCCAACCAGAAGGCAGGGGTTGAAACCCACCAGCTGCTCCGTGGAAGGAAATGGGGCAATCTACTTGTGTAAAGGTTTACCGCCTCAGAAACCCAACGGGAGTCGCTATGAGTTGGTTTTGGGTGGTGTCCCAGGAGCCCTTGTGGTTCGCTGGTTAACACTCAGCTGCTAACCAAAAAGATCAAAGGTTCGAACCCACCAGCCACTCTATGGGAGAAAGATGAAGCAGTCGGCTTCCATAAAGATGACAGCCTTGGAGACCCTGTGGGCAGTTCCACTCTGTCCTCCAGGGGCGCTGTGGGTTGGAATCCACTCCAGAGGAATAGGTTGTGGGTGGCACAAACAATGAAGGGCATCGTTTCCTGGCTGAGATCAAAGATAACAGGAGGTAAGATGTGCGAAAAGGGCTGGGTGAACTATAAAGCTCGGCTGAGAAACGGTAGCTGTTGTTATCACAAAAGTGAGCACACAGACGATTCCTGAGTTTGGAAGACAGAACTCCAGCCTTTAAATGACCATGACCAGGGCATGAAGGCCGAGTGCGACCGTGCTCAGAAACAGAAGGAATGGGGGGTGGGGGAAGGAAAAGTGCTGTCTGGAGGAGCCGAGCGCCTAGTGGAGGGCAGAGCGAGCAGCCGAGAGGTTGGCAGTTTGAACCAAGCCTGAGGTGCCGCGGAGGAAAGGCCTGGCCGTCTGCTTTCCGAGGACACATCTTGAAAACCCAACAGACCCGGTCCGCTCTGCAGGCGGGGTCGCCAGGAGTCAGAGTCTGTGCCCCGGCCGCTGCCAGCCACACCCTCAGCTGGCCGGAGCAGTTTTCCCGAAGGCCCTTACCGGTGACAAGAGCCCAGTGCTGGAGCCAGAATCGCCTTCCTTTTATAGAGAGGGACACTCAAGTGTGTGGGCACAGTTTGTCGCCCTGTCTGTCGTTGCTTTCAGCTTTCTGTGAGGGATGGTTTCCAGCACACCTCAAAATAGAAGCATCCTTTGAGAGGGAAGGAGCGGGGGGTCAAGACTGCTGGGTCTCAGGGCCTCCTGCTTCCAGGAGGGACCATGTCTGCTGCTCCTGTCCCTTTACACACACACACCCCCACACACACACACGCTTCCCTTCCCTTTGGCTGGGGTACTTTAGGGCAAACGTGGGCAGGACATCATCCCCCCCCAAGACCTCAGGATGTGGGAGCTTGCTTTAGGACATGGCACGCTTCTCAAAACCAAGGTGGTGGATCCGGGGAAGGACTGACACCTGTTGATCTGCCCCACCCCCCCAAAAGATTCCCCACCGTGGGACCCACCTTCCACTACTGCAGGCCCCAACCAACAATGAGAGAAAGCCGCAGAGAACGTTACAGCCAGCCAAGGCTCCGTGTTTCTGCGTTTCTGCAGTTTCATAATCGGACCTCGCGTCTTCCCGAGGCCTGGGAGGTTGTCCTAGTGCCGCCCCAGCCCCCCCAGCCCCCCCAGCGTTGGCCACGGGGCCGCTTGGCCGTGGGTCTTTCCGGAGCCCAGGTGCAGCGCCGTTGCCCTTATTAATAGCAGCAGTAGTGGTAGTAGTGGCCACGCGAGTGGGACAGGCGTCAGGGCTGAGTCACCCCCACCGGCCGGGCTCCCATTCATCCCCCTCCCTGCTGCCGCCGCCGCCCCGTTGCACAAGGCCCTGCGGGCGCCGGGGGCCTCAGTTTCCAGCCCTGTAAACTGGGGATAAACTCTGACCCCTCGGGCTGCCGCAGGATGCCACGGAAAGCAGCTAACAGCAGGTGCTAAGAACATGCAAATATGCCTTCTCCCCAGGACGTCCGGGTGCTCTGCCCAGTTAGCTCCCGGGTGTGAGGGAGGAGGGTTGGGGTCAGGTCCCTGGGTCTGAGGGAGGAGGGTTGGGGTCAGGCCCCTGGGTGTAGGGAGGAGGGTTGGGGGTCAGGCCCCTGGGTGTAGGGAGGAGGGTTGGTGGTCAGGCCCCTGGGTGTGAGGGAGGAGGGTTGGGGTCAGGCCCCTGGGTGTAGGGAGGAGGGTTGGGGGTCAGGCCCCTGGGTGTAGGGAGGAGGGTTGGGGGTCAGGACTCTGGGTCTGACGGCAGAGGCTTTTGGGACAGGCACCCCGCCCCTGCGGCCAGCACTCCCGGCCGGGACCAGGGCGCTGTAGGCCTGGATCTGTCTGCAGAGTCAGGTGTGTGAGGGTCTGCCCACCTTTCCTCAATTCCCTCCGGCCGGGCCCCTGGGGGTTCACAATACTCTTTGTCCCCACTGTCCTGGGCCCTGAGCCCAGAATCCACTCTGGTCTAAGTTTGGAAGGGGGAGGGGGGGCAGCAGGTCGGGGGGGTGGATGGGTGTGGGGGGCAGGGTGTCGGTGCCTGCACTGTCCTACGCACCCAGAGAAAGGGCGGGACCCAGAGACAGGAACAAAGAGCAAGACGTGAAACTCGGAGACAGAGAGGAGGCTGAGACGCCCAGACCCCAGGGAGGGGAGAGACAGACGGCAGTGGCCACACAGTGCAGGGACAGTGGCCTGGGACCAACAGGGGCAGGGCAGAGGGACCTACCTGAGATCCGAGAGCTAGAGCCGGGAGCAAGACAGATACAGAGAGGGTGGCAAGAGGGTGCAGCAGACAGAGGCTGACTGACAGAGAGACAGACAGACAGGGGACAGAGAGCAGAGAGAGGGGGACAGTGAACACAGAGAGAGAGGGACAGAGACACAGAGAGAGGGGGACAGAGAGCAGAGAGAGGGGGACAGAGACACAGAG